CGGGTTTTTAACAGTAGACGAGAAGTGCAGGCCTTACACGAATATTCGTGAGAACGTAACGACATCGCTATATGTATTAAAATTTCTGTAACGCCACCAACAACACCTAACCAAAACTCATAGAAATGACATATTTTGTCACTGACGTTACAAAGACGCGTGTCGCTAATATTTATGCTAGGCTCTCAGGTGGCTGAATTTATGGTTTTGGTCACCATAACCGGTTGTAACGGTAAAAATTTTCTGATGGGCAAAATTACTTGCCTTATGATCTCCTAAAGTTATCTGTGGTTTCCACTGTAGTTTTGTCAGAATGTAAGCGATCTCTTTCTAACATTGAAAGAGAGCAGAGAAAAAGAAAGTGAAACGGAATATTTTGCACGTCTACTTTTACCAACAATGATTTATGACAAGAGTTATACGTGAATTGATTGACATACGTTAAGATATTAAATTCTTTACCATTCGTTTTGGATATGGTCTTCCGATTTGAAAAATATTATGACTTTAACAAATCGATTTTCCGCGTTAAAAAATGCATTTATGTTATGAAATTAATTTTAGTCTTAGCTAATGTAATTGTTACTATGTTTAGTTCTATCTGCTTTAAAATTAGCTGAGCGGTTTCAATACTTATAATACGAAAAATCCAAAGGTTTTCGTCTATACTTATAGAGATGAGTAAAAGATTTGATTGTTCATTTATTATAATTTTTTCGAAATCCGCGCCGATGAAGTCGCGGGCAACAGCTAGTATCTTATAATTAAATTGTAATAAAAGAATATGAATACATAATCGTTTTACATCTCTATAACTTCGTTTCAAATCTTTGGTATGTATAACTTCCTGGCAAATTCTTTCTTCTTTAACAACATCAGAAATTGTTTAACAAAAATTATTAATATTATGCAAATAAAGAAAAAAAAGTATGACAATGATCCTTTAAGAATGTCCTAGATAAAACTCTAATGCTGGTATTCCACTGCTTAACTTTAGGTTTTTCGGCAGTAGAAACGAACGGTAAAACATCGTTTTCTATGAGATCTTTGATTTTTAGGCGGATTTCTAAAAAAATTGAATACAAAGATTGAGCAATAAAAATGCTTGTCTGGTTAAACACACACAATTTTGCTCTTAGCACATAACCGCGAAGCCCATGACGTATTTTTTGCAACAACAAGTGAAGTCTTTAAAACAATACATCTTGCTACTGGAATGTAGATCTTATATCGATGCTTCTGGAACGTTCGTGGATGATTTCCGTCTGAATGGACCACCGTAGACAAAACATCGTCGCGGTTGGCGTGGGCGCTATACAAAACATTATGGTTAACAGCACGATCGATTCTTTTTTCAAATACATCGCTTAGTTTTAAAGAATCGGTTAATTTTTTTTAAATTTTTTAAAAATGTATGAATAACCATTTTGTATTCGGCCAGGAGTTTATATGATATTCATAAATAAATATAAATTGAGACGAGTTAATTAGTGATTTGATTGCATCTGTGGGCACGTTTAATTGGCTTCTACATCTGTGAGCACCTAAGCTTCGCTTAATTGACCCCGTGTGTGACATACCGTGTTAAGTGTCCTATAGAAGGAATGTATACATTCAGCTCAGTATACGTCCCTACTGTATTTATAACTATAGATTTTATGACTGTAGATCGGAAAAAGAGTGAAGGTTATAAAATACTTTAAAACATACTTAGAATGGAATTTGCCACAATCTTACTAATATTATAAATAAAATGCACGCTGAAATTTAAAACAGATGTAGAACATTGCCTAGAAGAACATATACGTAATTACATTTTTTTTAATTCCACGCAGACGGAGTGGCGGGCGACAGCTAGTGCAGTATAAAATTAAAATTAATCTTTACAATTGTATTATACTTCATACATGATATAACGGAATTTAAATGAAGATTGTCAGCTCGGTACATCATGACCTATACATTAATAACCAACTTATAATTGATTCCTAGTTCAAGCTTCGTGAACGACTGCTCCGGTGACCATATATTGACGGGTTTCATGGAATGCTAAAGGTGCATTATTGAGTCCAAAATCCAAACTGTTCTCTTCAAGCAGTCTTGAATAAAGTAATAGATAAAATAATACTGAGATATTTGGGATTCACATTACAAATACAGCGAGAAATCTCTATAAGAAAGAGCCACTGTCCGATCACGAAGGACCATCTTATGGTTTAGACCATTATATGGTTTAGAGAGACCCACCTATAAGCAAAAAATATTGGATTCTCGCTAATAACTTTGTTATACTTCCTTATTTCCACGCTAAAGACAAAACAATGGAATAAATCACAGGATAAACAAATGTTCAATGAATATGTTTATCGTAAACTGCACGTATCTGTAAACATAATCTCGAAACAATAATAACGTTTAATGATAGGATTTCGAGTTGCACATTGTCACGACATTACCAAGTTACATAACAAATAACAGTAATTTACATAATCGTTTCTTATATCGACACATAATAATTCATATATAATACGATATAATATTTCCCCAACCGTGAATTACCAATCTTAAAAATATATAATCTCTCATAATCTATGGAAATAATAGATAATTTGTACAAATTTTTCGATATGACCAGAAATATAAAGATCCTCGCCATATTAACTAAGGTAAGGTGTAAGAAAGGCGATTGCAGCGCCTCCAGGCCAAGATTTTTATATTCTTGGATTGACCATGAGGATTTTCGGTTATACACCACATTCAAATTTATCTTGAAATTGTACCCTTTAGCGACAGTTACTTGATAAATAGAACGCCTAATTAAGGTTACAGACACACAATTATTGAAAGCTTATCGTCATTATTTGGGAGGCGTCCAAACTTATTTCTTACTTATATTATTGATGTGAATGTTTAGATGGATGGATGGATGTTTGAAGGTATCTCCAGAACGGCTGAACGAATCTAGATGAAATTTAAATCAGATGTAAAACATAGTCTGTAAGAACACATAGGCTACTTGTTAAGTTTTTTTTAATTCCGCGCGGATGGAGTCAAAGGCGAATATTAGAATAAAGGTACTAATATTAATGCAGGATTTAAAATGTTCATTCTGTACTACGTGCTTATGAAAATATTATATGACGCATGTTATATAATACGTTTAAAAACATTTAACAATTATTATTAATGTTTACAATAACCAGGACCGTGCAAGGCTTTAATGCTATATATAATGTTATTACAGCTACATTATGCAGGCATCTTTTAATGCTTGTACATTTTTTTTTACATTTAATTATAACTCTTATGATTACGCAACGAGCAGAGAATTTTAGTTTATTAAAACTGAAGGTATAAAGCGGAAAATCATAAGTTAATATAATAATAACATGTACATTTTACGTACGAATAGTCAAATATTATACATCTCTTTCTTTCTACTAATACTAGGTAAGTTGATGCATGAAGTGAAAACTTTGAACCGATTTATAAATAAACCTCGAAAAGATATGACGGTCAAAGACTCATTTATTTCAATGTAAAGAAGTTGATAAAACTATATTTTATTAAATAAAAATATTTGATTGCAAATTGTGTTCGAATTTCGACCAATTGGCGACCACTAGTTAATTCCGTATATACAGGATGTCCCGTTTTATTTATTAATGGAACCTGAAACCCCAATCATAAGTTAATGTAAGTGTTTGAATTTTACGTATGAACAATGTAGGCGATATGTAAACTTTTGTAGCGAGAATAACGTTTCTCAATCCACAGTAAAAACTAGTTAACAGTTACCCGCATACATAACAGCTATGAAATTACGTCAGGCGTTACTGAGAAAAATATTAAAAAGTTTTTATAGTTGTAATTAACATACCAACAAACATCTTCTATTGTATTGGATTGTGGTAATTTAAATACCGTTAGATCAGGCTTACGGATATACGTAGAAAAAAATCCAACAGGATTTAATTAAGAACAATGCTATTTTTAATCAAACATAAAAATCTTTGATTATGAATTATGATCCACTAGCGGTCGCCCGCAACACAGTTCACGCGGCATTAAAAAAATAATTAGTTGCCTAAGTTCTACATGTATGTCAAACTTCATCGAGATCTGTTCAGCGATTCTGGAGATACCTTCAAACTACCATCCATCCATCCGTCCCTCTAAACATTCGCATGTATAATTAATATGATGTATAATTAAGAATATTTCGACTTTTAGGCGACAACAATAATAAACATCCCGTATGAGATGTCCAGTCCATTTATCGTATGAGGAATTGACAACTTAAAGATTCTTTTAACACTCGTCACATTATGAACAACGGGATCTAGTTCGAAGCAATTAGAAAGCGGCATAGGGCCACTTTCAATAGCCCTTCCGCGGTTAAATGTTACAGGAAATACTACTCCAAGGCAACAGCATAAGTCATAAATTGGCATACATCGAAAATGTATTGAAAGCTGACATAAAACGTTGGCACAAATTTTATGATAGGAACACTTGCATTATTAAAACATGTAAGCTAATGTGCATGTTAGTTCTGTTTAGGTTATTAGGATACTTTTTTTAAAATAAAACAAATCGTGTAACAAAAATCAAGGAGACATTAGTGAGAATACATTACCTTTGTCCTTTTATATAGCATTTATTTTGTCACTTTTTTGGTTTATGTCTTGAATATTTACTGGTACACAAGAAGTTTATCTTTCATTACAAAATAAAATTCCACGCTTTTATTAAACGCATTCACAAGGGGTGACATAAAGACAGCTGACATCCGACATATTTGTAAACAAAACAGAGTGACGTTTTCTTAAAGCGCGTTTACGAAGCTTGTTGGAGAAAACTCACACAAGTTATAATGCTGTTGCTATCATGTTTTACGAAAAGTATTATAAATGTCACGTACTTCACATTTTTGTTAACTTTAATACATACATATTTTTACTGTTTATGTATTATAATAAACATTTCTTTCTTTCCAGATAAACCTACACCTTCGAACGATGCTTTTACTACCCTGCAGCAACATGTTAGATGTGCCAGACAATGTAAGTTTATTTACATGAAATATTTTTAAATAGATTTAGTAGTCCTTTGTTTTTAAAAAGCTAGAAACTGAGTCTGTGCCATAAGAGTGAGTGTTTTTTAGACTATAATGATTACTTTTTTCTATTTAGTATGAAAGTAGTCTAAACAGCAGAGGAAAATCAAATATCGATGTAGGTCACACATACAGGTGAGTGCTTAGCAAAACAAGAACAAACATAAGTATACCACTGTGTTATCTTTAGAGTTTTAGAGCATACGCGTTCAAACATTAACTCAGCCGTTTATCGCATCTTGTAATTGCACTTACAAATATACCAAGGGTTGCCAGTAAACAAAAATGGCAAGTTGTGTCCGAAGTTCATGGAAATAAAATAGAAACTAATATATATAATGAAGAACCGTATCAAAAATCTAATTGGATAATAAAGTAATTTGTTCACGGTTTTTATAATAATAATACAAACATTTAGAAGATGACCAAACTTTGTGTAATTTAGAGACATATTTCACTAGAAAGTGATATTAAATATTAAAAGGCGGTAAAAAGGAATGAAAAGAAGAGAGATGATAAAATAAATAAATAAATAACCTCTAACATTTGCCGTAGAGTAGCGGATAATCGAGCCCAACAACTAAGCTAATAACAAATTCAAATCCTTAGGTCTCTTCTTAATAATTATAGATCTAGTTGGCGTGCGATTTGGCGGGTATTTGTACTTGTTTTGTGTATCTTTTTGTATTACATTTGGATACTTTTACTTAGTTTTTAAATAATCGAAAATTATTGGGCAACTGGATTTTTTGTTAGAATCTAGTATAAATTCATTGAGCAATTGAAACTTTCTATAAGTCCAAGAACACTAATATATGAAAATGTTTAATGATTTTGCGTGTTTAATGGAACACCAATATATTGTTATTACACTCTGGTATTTCAACGTTATATAAATATAATTAGTCCATTGTTTAACAGTACCGTGTTAATTTCTCTCAACCCTGTGACTAACGAGCGCAAAACCACGCCGTATTAGTTTGCGCTGCGAAACATTACGCCTTGCACGAAAATATCAACTATTGAAAATAGAGTGATTTGTTATTTAGAAAAAAAAAGTATTAAAGTATTTTAAAGCTGTTTGCATCTTTGTTATTGTGACAATGACTTTTAAAATATGTACAGATTTGTTTAAGTGTGATAAATAATTGAAATTGAAACAGAAAAAAGTAAGTAAGAATTTGTTGTAATTTATTTCACTATACCACAAGAGAAATCATCAGTTTACGATGAATTTATGATTAAATGACAGTATGTAGTTATTTTTTTTTTTACAAATTGTAGCAGTGACATCTTTAGACATCATGAAATTGATGACTTTTTCAAAACAAATTACGCTTAATTCTGACTGGCAATTTTCGTTACCGAAATATGTATTTTTTTTATTTGTCTATGTTTAGTGACTTAAAATTGAGTAGAATAAAAATAGTTTTTAGTATGAGTTTGATTCCATGGAAGATGGGTCGGGTGCTGGCCCCTTCCCATCTACATGGAACCAACAACAGAGCGGGTGCGGCTTGTGAAGCGGCTGAAAATGCAAAAGCATGCAAATACAGGGGTCTAGGCTCCGAATATCATTTTGTCCCATTCGGCGTCGCCTTGGTCCGTGGGGTCCTAGCGCTTTAAGACTTTTTAAGGACATTTCCAAAAAAATAATCGACATCACAGGGGACCGAAGAGCTGGCAGCTACCTCGGTCAAAGAATTAGTTTAGCTGTCCAAAGGGGGACGCTGCCAGTATCTTCGGGACCTTACCTAAAGGGACTCCTTCTAATAACATATTTTAGTAAATTATTCGTTTTTTAATATTTTATGTTATATCATAGATTTAAGACTAATCGTTAGATGCTTTGTTTCTACTTATGATGTTAAATAATTGAGTTACAGACATTATTTGTATTAGCATAGAAGTGACATTTTATTTGTTTTTAACGGAAAACTTTATACGGATGACATATGCATTGTAAACCTGATTGTACGTGTTTTATTTGTTGTTGATGTACCTATTTGATTTATGTCTCATTTAGCAAAGCAAGCTCATTTATCAGATGGAAGTGTTGTTAGTATTGTGAAATGATTTTCTGGAATTAGTAAAATCAAGTAATAATTCAAAACTTAACCAGGCCGTGGGGATTAACAGGATTATGTGAAACTGTGTAATTCAAAGACCTGTGGCGCCCTTTTCTAATCAGCGCCCTGGGCAGACGCCCAATTTGATAATAAATCTAATGCCGGCCCTGCTTTAATAGCTAGCCGCCGCTAGCCACAATTATTTATGTGTAATTTTTGTATATATTTTATTAAAATAAACTAGTTATATTCGGTACCGGCAATGCATCAGCTACCTTACCATCAAGTTTCGTTAAAATCGGTGAATTCGTTCCGGAGATTACCCGGAACATTCGCGGCCTTGGGAACAGACAGACAGACAAAAATTTTGATAAATAGTAATATCTACATATACAAATTATTGTGAAAGAAACAACTGAATTAAGATCTTTTGAAAAAGTGAAACAAAAAGATTTCTCAACTAAAAACATCGACAATTTTCTGAACAGTGACTAATTAGTATTATTTACTACATTACATTTCATTAAACAATTTGTGCAAGAAAATAAAGCAAAGATTGTTATCTTCTGTCCGTACATGTGACAATTATACTTTGTGTTTGTTTATATTTAACAACTGTCTGACATACAATTGCGATTTAACAAATATGTCACAATTACAATTAACAAGTTCGCAGTTCTAGATTAATTAACATATCTTATTAACCATTTTTATAACAATTTTTTTTATATTTATACATCTACACATACATGTCCCATTTCATGGTAGATCTTAATTTAAATAAGCACATTATGTTGCACCATAAGAATATTAACCTTAAAATCATTTTTCAAATAAGTCTTATTTCTTATTGTGTTCCTGCAATTACAGAGGTTATCCAGGAATCTTAATTAACGTTCATAATGTCAATCAAATCATCTTAATAGCAATACAAAAGCGCGCAATGGTGATTGCTTTTTTTCCTTGCTTCTATAAAGCAACAAGCAAAACATTGATAAGGTTATCGTTTCTTTGCAGAGAAATAAACCTTTCCGACACTGGAACTATAACTATAACTCTGATGAAAAACGCATATAAATATCTTGTGTTGTGATCTCTTTCTATCTCTTTCAACTAAACAGAGATAACATTATTTCTTAATTGTTTGCATTAAATAGGCTTCGAAACTACCGAATCGATTTGAAAAATTCTTTTAATTTTGGGAAGCTATACTATCCTCGGATGATATGGGCTGGCTATATTTCTTAATACATTTTTTTTAATTCCATGCAGGCAAAGTCGTGGACAACTGCTATGTTTGATACAGAAGTAAGTGCGTAGTATCTTTTTGTAATCAATATGCTTTTTTTATTATTGTTTTTAGTTTAAGGATTGATAACGATGTTTGTGTGCTCAAAGTAAGCATTGGAATAAAACTAGGCTTTTAAATATTTCAAGGTTACATCTTAATACAACCGAATAGTATGCATGTTGTGGTGCTAAAAATGGTATTTATACGATAAGTGAGAATTTCAAGAAACTATATAATTATGATAACAATGCGTCATCTTCTGCGTGAATTGGGAATACTCCCACGTCTGCCGCGTCTGGTGTTGTTCATTAAAAGTTAATTTGGTTCAACTCTTACCATTGATATTGGTATTATAAAGGGGAAAGATTTGTATTTTTGTATGTAAAGAATAAACACAAAAACATTTGGAGTGATTAAAATAAATTGTCTTTGAAAATTTTGTAAAACCGCACGGTTTAGGATTGCCAGACTCGATATGGTGTGTGTTGGTAATTAGCGGTCCTAGGTGTCGTCCGATTACAGAACTCTGCGTCAGGAATTTGTTCCAAATAATTCTTCTAAGCGCTCCCCATGATGTGCTTTCCTTAATTCTGTGTTATCCTAAAGCCGCATACACAGTTTTTTAATGGTGACACTTAAAAAGTGTTAACCACTGACAAAATCTAAAACATTAAAAATATACATTTTTAAACAATAGTAATTTGGAGCTACTTTTGTCTTGTCTACATTGTATTAAAATATTTCAAAAACAGCTGAACTTACAGACAAAAACGTGACGGCAATATAGCATCATACAACTATATATTATCAAGGGCTTTATAATTGGTACAGGAAAATCTACGATTAAGATGAGATATAACAAAGAGGTATTTCCTATTTACTTTATTCGCCAACCGTAAGTTCCCTCAGATGACACACGACGGGTCCTTTAGTATGCAGGATGCGATGCCGGGCTTGCCGGGGAACCGCAGGAGCAACGTACTGTAAATCATTGTACCGCAATATTTTTCCCGCCAACAATGTGACATACGCGGCAAAGAGCTAACGCCAACAGATCATAAATGATAGCTTATTGTCTTTAGACTTGCATAATTTTAATTAATTTATAGCTTTTTAATGTGACAAAAGTGATCATATGGTACATATTATTATGTGCGTTTTGTGAATAAATTATAAAAAATTGGCATATATTAGTCTTGACTCTTAATTGTTTTTCGAGCTTGTTACCATGACGATAGTGCATATACCATGATTTAGTTTAAATTAATGTTTTGAGTTTTGTTTTTATTCAGTTATGAGTCACTAGGAACATAAGTAAAGAGACTACTCTTAATTATGTTCCATAAAATAATCAACTCATAAATATACTTATAAATACTTCTTTCAAATGTTTACTAGAAATTATATTAGTATTTTATCTTTAAACGGTGATATTAATGACCTTATAAATGGGTTGGAAGAAGCTATGTTAAACATAAAATACATACAACAATCAAAACAGTAAATAAGTACTGAATCATAAATAAATACTGTTATAATTCTACTGTTATCATTGTCTATTAAATTATGGCTCCAAGCTTATTATATGGCAAAACATCTTCATCTGATAACGATGGAAAATCCAATAGAAAATGGGTCTGCATTGAACACGTGTCACTTGTTTGCAGTAAAACATCTCAGTTGCGATTGTTTTAAATTTCCGAACGAACCATATCGCCGGCAGTTCTTCAACATCTGCCGCGGGAGCTAGTGTGCTTGCTCGAAATGTCAGTTTTCCCGCCAATTTTCAAACGGACATTTATTAAATTTATTAGTGGTCGTAGAACAATTATCATTTTTTTAGTACAATAGACATATTAAAATAAACTAGAAATGAATTATTTAAAGTGACAAGGTGTAATAGTGATATGTTTTAAAGTGTGGTACCGAAAATAAAAAAGTTATTTTAAAAGCGCCAAGTGAAAGACATTCATGATGAATAAGGTATATTTTACAGATTTTTTTTTATTATTTGCCAAACCTGTTAACAGACAATACCATACATTTTTTTTTCAAAAGAATGAGGGTTGGAGAAAAAAAATTGTTTTGTTTTGTTCAAGTGATGGCAGTATAGACGGAATCTTATTATTTTCATTATATATCTACGCGTTTTTGATCTATAAAAATCAATCGTAAACTAATAGATTTTTATGATTTTACTGTTTATCGGGATAGATAGATATCGAGAAGATAAAACGGGACATGAGCCCTGTATGGCGAAGCAAATCTGTACCGTTACATTGACTTAGTCGACCGATCTTTCATACTGAACTTTAATCCCTTCTCTAGGTAATATAATAAATACTATTATATTACATAGATACATAACCTATAGATGGAGTTATATAAGTTTTACACCAACCCAAGAGTCGAAATTTGAAATGTCGTTTCTTAATAGTTTATTATTTAGAATAGTCTGGAAGAAAACATAGGCTACTTATTAAGTTTGTCTTTAAATTCGCGCGGATTGTGTTGCGGGCGACAGCTAGTATTAAAATAATTTCGTGACAATTTATTTTATCAGTTCTAGCCAGCGTGAGGCCTAACAGTAAAGTTTTATTACATTTGAATGTTTAAATTTTATGCTCGATTTATATATGGGTCTGTCAATATTTTGTTTCAATGCAAATGATTTTTACCCAACATACGAAAAAAAATATTTTTGAGTTCCGTTTACATAAATCAGGCATTTATATTACTCAATACTTAAATAGTTACATATATGTATTGTACAAAGTTTTTATAATAACACTAATAAATGACGTCTAAACTTTTCACAGTTTTAGAAGAATACTGTTAATTTATTTATCTGTGTTTTTGAAAACAACTAATTAGTGATGGACTGTAAAACGAAGTTTAACGAACGCGTGCTCAAATATAACACTAGTCATCATCATCAGCTCCCTATACGTCCCCACCGAGGGGCTCGAAGCCTTCTCCAAGTTAGGGGTGACTAGGCTATAGCCAACCACGCTGCCCAACTGCGGGTTGGTTGACTTCACACATATCATTGAATTTCTTCTCAGATATGTGCAGGTTGCATCACGATGTTTTCCTTCACCGTAAGAACGTCGGATAAATGTACATATGTAAATCGGAAATCAAAAAACACATTGGTACATGGCGGGATTCCAACCCAGGACAGATTGCAAGTCAAGTGCTTGACCGCTGAGCCACCGACGACCTAAGTACTCTACTCTAACTAGTACTAAAGATATAATACTAACTGTGGGTTTCTGAGACCAAAATTGCCAGTTAAAACATATTGTTATCCCTATTAAGTATAATAATATAACAGGTTCTATGATATATTTTATACATTTTAGCTTAGTAAATAACATATTATAAATAAAAGTTTAGTTCGCTTTCTTTGTGGATCATACTTATTTCCAATTTGTTGAAATACATCGCTGAAATCATTATAATCTTTATAAAAATGTATTCATGACTTTCATAGAACATATAAATTAATATCATTAAAACGTTTTTATAATAAGTATTTGCACGATAAAAATAGAAAACGATGTTTTTCCTTGCACGAATAACACTGGCACTTTATAACTGCTTTTGCCCATCGTCATGTTACCAACATTCTTAAATGATGCATTGTTGTTATCGGAGTTTGAATTGGAGTAGAAATGTTGTATAGTTGAATTTGCTTATTACATGCTATTTAATATTTAAATTATTTACGCTCCGTTATACGGCAGGCGTATAAAGCTCATTGTAACAAGAGCCTTACATATAGCTATAACTACGCATCGGTCTCACTAATTTTGGCACACACGCATTATAGATTTCGCCACTTTTATTGTATTACAATTAACAAGGTTGTGGGGAAAGTTTTATCTAAACCCGGGGATTACGAATCTTTGTTCTTGGCGAATCGCCCACAATACTTATACGCGTAGACCATCAATTTTACTTCCCC